CCGGGGGAAGGATTTGAAAGGGGACCGCTGAACCTCAATCTGCAGTAGTATCGGCCGAGATCGCATGCTGGGCTGACGACTATGGCGTTTGACTTTTTTGTCTCGAACCGCCTCGTCGCGCCGCTGCTCGCTGCTCACTACGTCGCCGACACACCGGTGAGGCTGTCAGTCGCTGTCTTTTTATGCCGGCGACGCTGATGGAGGGTCGGGCAGGTTTCGTGCAGATGCAGAAATGAGGTTTGCCGAATGAATAGCACAATGAGCGACGTGCAGACAGACACGCAGGACTCCTCCCCCCCTCCATCTCTTCGACATGCTGCTGATCCTGACTGCTTGGCTATGGTGGCTAGGCCTTCGGCGTGATATGTCGATCCCGTCGTTCATCAAAGCGCCTCCTTTGACCGTGCGACCTGCGCAGAAAGTAGGGGTCCTCCATGGGAGCCTTGCCTGTCGGTGAGAGGGGGGGTGGCCTTTAGACACACGCCAGGGGCATAGCACAGTGATGTAGGTGTTATACTCGCTGATTTACTACCTGCGAGTTCATGGCTTGATGTAATGGTGGCCTCCCTGGGAACGGGCATGACGAAAGAGATCATCCGGGGTCCATCTCGTTCCTGCCCAGGACAAGTGCTATCGAGCCTTGGTAGATGTGATGTTACGTTTCTTGATCACCATGTCTTGTCTGACCTATGCTGGAGAGGCCTGGACGATAAGGAAGTCGACTCTGTAGCACTGCGTGTCTCAAGACGACCCCCCCCCCCCGGGCTTACCGAGTCTGGTATGGAGGGATCCGTAAAGAGCATGAGCAGAGTCTGAGCGGGCGTTCGAGCTTGGACGATTCTGGGGATGAGATCTTGTTATCGCGATCGAAGCGGGGAAATGGGCGCTGTCTCGATTACATCATTGTATCAGCAGATAGTGTAGCCTTTCCTGCTTCCTCAGCGTGCTGTGACGTTCTCTCGGGCTGGAAAGGGACGGCCTGGGGAGTCTATACGCTGGCAGGTTGCAATGTCACGTGCGACGGGTTGCTTTGAGATGTTGATAAGGTGATTTCGCAACGCTGAGGAAACCATGGATCAGTCTGTGGTCATCGAGAGATCCAGAGTCACTTCGTGTCTACTGATACCAGGTGTGGCGAGGAAAGACCAAGGCCGTTATGTCGCTGCCAGCCGTACCTGAGCATAGGCGAGACCATCGTGAAAAGGGTGCCTAATTCTGTACCAGACGGCCTTATCCGCCTGCTTGAACCGTGTTACGTTCGTTCAATTTCGATACTTAGTTTACAGATCAAAAACCAGGACTGCGTCACAAGTAGCCAATGTTCATCTTCATAATAAACTGTGCTAACAAGCTCTGCTGACTAGACACGCGTTATCAGATACAGTGTGCTGCTCTATGTCGATCAATACGACAGGC